TTTTAAAAAGCTGAATAATAGTCCATTATATAATATGTCACATTGTTTATCCATTCATCAATTGATGGATATTTGGGTTATCTTCACTCTTGAGTATTACAAATAATGCTGCTGTGAACCATCGGATACAAACGTTTCTTTGAAAACTCACAATAGATTCTTTTCTTAATACCACACCTTTAGATGATAAGGAGCAAGAAGAGAAGTTAAGAAAGGGGAAAAAATTAACATTTAAATTTAGAACTAATTATAAAGTGTCAATTAATAATAATATTGAAATTAGCAATATTTACAAAGGTCTTATATTTCACATACTTTACTTCATCTAGAAATAGACATTATCACCTATGCGCTACAGAAAACTGAGGCTCAGGGGGCTAAATAATTTGCTTCTGATCACATAACCAGTGAGTGTCAGAAGTATGGGATGACAAGTTTCTTTGGCCCCACACTGCATTTCCACCTTCTTTGCTCATCAAATGGGCAGTGGAGGTTACAGTAACAATGATACCAAACCACCTTCCATAGCAGTTCCCACCAAACCTTCACTGATGAAGCCTGCATACAGGAGCTGATGGTAAGAAAGTGCTAGCTGTCCCCACATGCTGCACAGAGGAGGAGAGGAGCTGCTAGCTTCTGGGTCTGTGCACAGACTGCTTACCAGATCCCCGCTGGTTGAGTGAGCAAAGCTGGACGGAGCCCACATTCCATCCTGGCCCACAGGAACTGGATACAAGTGCATATTCAGCTGAGAGAATCTCCTACCTGGTTCTAGTGGCTCCAGGCCCAAATCCCCTTTCCCGTCCCTGGAGAGCTCCTGTAGACATTGGTCCTGTTCCTCATGCAGCACGCGCAGCACATCACACAGTCGGGTCAGTGCTCCAGCCTGCAAGTCCAAGACCAAGGACACTCATCACTGCTTCCAATTGATCCTATCACACAGAGAATTTCTGTGAGAAAGAATGGGGCTAGATAATAGGCATTAAAAATGAGCAAGGCAAAGCCTGCAAGGAGCTCCTAGTTGGCAGGAAGGCAAAGGCAACCTCTCCCGGGAGAGAATACAGTACACAGCCAGGGCAGCCAAGATGCTCCCACAATCTATAGCTTGTCTGCTCTTCAGTTAATGGAGGATCCCAAGTCCACCAAACTGTTTGCTTCCTGCACACCTTGCTACTATTTTGTAAGATTAATTTCTGCTCTCCAACTGTGTGGGTATCTGTTTTTGAAAGAAGATTTGATTTAGACAAGTCTTTGGAACCTACTGTTAGCCATTTCCTTTCCCCATAGAAGAAGAACATGTGTCCAGGTTGGACAAATGTGACTGCAGGAGGAGATGGACAGCATGGAGGAGGGACAGGCATGTAGTCCTGACTCCCTGGCTCTTTCAAAGTTACATTTGTGTAGCATCACTCCACTATCTCACTGGTGTCAGACATGTGATATGTATGCTGGATGAATAAGTGAATGCACAATTTTACAGATGAATAAATGGGACTCCTATTCTGCTTACAAAATATGGATATAAAATTTTAATATTACAGAGTCTTCTTACATACATTAACTTAGTCAGTTCTTGGAATACTCCTAAAAAGAGACAGAAGGAAACTACTGTCTCATGGTTCATGATGGTTATAGGATATGACTAAAATCATATATCCGGGATCTAGATTTCAGAAACTAGCCTTCCAAGAGGTCAAGGACCAAGTCTGACACCCTGTTATTCAGCCCTACACCAATGCTTTGTAGACAAAAATTCCAACATAAAGAGCAGGGGGGCATATCCGTGGGAACAAAGACAAACTCCAAAATGCTCTAAATAAACAAAAACTCTGGGAGAAGGCAGCAAAGTCACCACTACTTTCAGACATGCTGCATTTTAAAACACAATTAAACTATGTATTATCTACAGGAAATTTAATGGTAAAATATTTAAGTAAAATGATATATAGGTAAATTGAAAGGGTAGAGAAAAATAAGTCATGCAAACACTGATCAAAGAAAGCCACAGTGACTACATTAACTAGATACTAGGGCCAAGAAGGTGAGCCGGTCCCAGCAGCCGGAAGGAAGCTGATCGCCTCCATGCCAGGCTCCTAGGGCAGAGAAGCTCAGCCAGTCCCAGCACCCGGAAGGAAGCTCCCCCACTGCCATCCCAAGCTCCTAGGGCAGAGAAGCTCAGCTGGTCCCAGCACCCGGAAGGAAGCTCCCCCACTGCCATCCCAAGCTCCTAGGCACAGAAGGTGAGCCACATGGGAGCCAGAAGC